CGGTTAAGGGTTAAAGGTACTCGTTTAAAGCCAATACGACTTTTACTACCCGTATTAGAAGAATTCACGCTTCGTGTAGGCGAATGTCAGCAGTAGAATTCACTGCGACATGTTCAAAAAACATCAAGTAGCCATATGTAGATGTTTCATTCTCTTTTGTGCGATCTTTCTTTGACTGTGTATGGCTGTGAGCAAACACATGCATTAGTTGCACGACCGTTCGCAGTGAACTCAACGGCTGATATTCCGTAAAGCAGCGATGATTTGCCGAGTGTACACGAAGCGTGAATTCTTCTAATACGGGTAGTAAAAGTCGTATTGGCTTTAAACGAGTAAATGTTAGCCCGATTGTGCCTGTGACCAAACACAATGAGGCGTCTCTAACGCGTATTCCGAGTACTAATCGCAGCTTGTGACAATTTCATTGTCACGGTTTGACAAAATCATAATAAATAGTATTGCAACAAGTCGTGGATTATGCATCAGAGGCGCGTCAGTGTTTTTGGTGACAAAATCTATACAGGAAATCCTATACCACTATCGGTCTACGGTTGAAAGCTTAATAGTTGTCGAAAAAAATGTATACCTTTCGAATGATGTACTTCAAGGGAACGGTCGGAAATATTTGTTTAATTGCTGAGGCCAAATCTGTAACAATAACATCCGCATCCTGATAAAATGAAAAAAGAGTTATTTATTTATTCACCGTCTGATCACAGACTGAATTCATAACAAAATTTGTACAATATCGTTCACAATGAAACACCACCCGATCGTTTACCCAGCCACCAGCCTTTTCGACTGGTGTTAAATAAGGAAAAATATTTGGTAGTTTCTTCTACTAGAGCTTCTGTTCTATCAAGTATTATGGGTATGTCTTTTTCGAGAAGAAAAAACATCTAAATATATAGAATTTAAAATTGAGTAGAATTCAAGTTTTCAGATTCCCATACAAATTCTTAGAAAACCTCATTTCCAAGGAAAATAATTTCCATGAACGGATTTTCCAAAAAGAAATATATTATTTTTGCAGATGGGGCTCAGGAATCCGAAAAAAAATATTTAAAGATAATACATAATAGCCGTAGCCTTGTTTGAGTTATGCATAGTACAAACAAACAAACCGAACACGATTTTAAAGATTGATGATATAATTCAAATAAAAAATAATTCAAAAGCATGCGAGAGTTTTGACGTACCGAACTAAAATTTCCAGCATCTCCGGATGTAACAAATGAGTAGGTTCGATCATTTGTAATGATCGTAAAATGTGTCGAATCTTTGCTTTCTACCGATTGAATATCCAAATAATGAAAATGGCAGTCGATCTGAAATTTCAAAGAGCCAGTCATAATTTATCCTACCGTTTTAGATCAAAAATATGATAGATATATACACAAAAAGGAATAAAATAACTTACTTTTGTTGGAACTTTGGCAATTAGCAAGTATATTCTAACCGGTGTAAAAACCTGAATGGAAATGAAAGTGAAAATCTTGCATTAGTGTACCTCATAGGTCATGTAACAGGCAAATGAAACAAATTATGATGCGCGAGTTAATGGTACGTTATTTGTATCTATGAATAACGTTTACTACACTCTTATATCGGTGGTATTAATATTTAGTATTTTGAGATTTTCAGCTACGATTAATCCAAAAGGACTAAAAAGTAATCCAATGGGATCATTTTATATTTTTTAACTTGAGTTCAATAAACACTTTTTTGTTGTTTGTAAAAAAATATCTCAAAATGAATCTTCCTTTGGAACACTGTTTCATATTGTATTGACATTTACATGAAACTTCAAATGCTTGTCATTGTCATTCGATTGCAAACATAACCTTTCACGGTCTTATGTTTATTGTGTAAATCACGTGCACCGTTGTCGAAAAAACTAAATTTTGTTTCTGTTGGAATTTCGATTAGTTTGTTTATTAGAATATAATTCTCAATAGAATCCTTTTTTCCAACGCTTCTGTGCAATTTATTAGATTTCTGATAAAATGTTTTATAGCTAGTGAAAACAAAGCAAAGAATTGATTAGCGAATGGTTTTCAATAGAATTTTGGGTCGGTTCGCATCAATATCAACATTCCATGTCACAACCGCTTTTGTGTGCTCAGTGATTTTTTTTCAAAAGGGTAACATGGCAAACATTTTGCAAAATTTTCAAAATCCATCAGAATCTTGAACAACCGAAACACTATCGTAAAATGCGTGTTGACGAAAGATTAATTCTTGGTTTGTTGACGAATGATTTTCAATAAGATTCTTTTGCATCGAATATCAACATAAATTCCGTATCACACCTTTGGGAGTGTAATTTAGCGAACATTTTGTCAGCATTTGAAATCGGACTGCAGAATTATGGAATTGTATTTATGCAAGAGTGAAATGAACGCATTGATATTTGTTTATTGTGAACCCGTTCGATCACATGAATCGGTGATTGTATATTTTGATAAATTTTTAGAGGCCTGTTTTTAAAATACCAGGAACCTATAAATTCATCAACAATAATACATTGCTAAATCAACCGATTTTTGAGTATAATTAATAAATTTATTTGATGGCATGCATAGTCTATCATAGTCATTGTAGTTTTTGATAAATATAACAGTGGCCTGAATATTTTTAAACCGGCACTTTTATATTTATCAAAATATATTTTGATTATTCATCAATATTTCGAGGTATAAATATCGGTGGAGATTCCAATACGTTAACAGTTGCTAAAAATGAGCGGTCGCAAACGGAATCACGAATCGGCGTTTAAGCCACGAAAGAAGATAAAAATTAAAGAACACCAAACAATTAAAAAAAAGTGCTCGAAAAGGTTTAAAAGTGAATCTGCCCATTAACACTGGAAAATTTGCTCAGTTGATTGACGTATACGTATTAGAAATGACACGGTGCTACATATTGGGTGCACTGAATTTGCATTATTTCACCAGTGATCATTTCAAGCGCAGTACAGACGAGCAAATCGAAGCATTCTATACTCAATTCGTCGACAAAAATTTATTTCGAGATTGGTTTTACGGCGTTCAGTTCATTGAGCATGCATTTAACGACGCCAGAGAAAGCGGGTACAGGTTGTGTTACGGCATTTGGTACTATTGCCAAAAATACGGTGTTCGAGCTCCAGTAATTGGAGGATTCGGGAATGTAGTTGAATACGCAGTACAAATGTTTTATACAAATTACAAAAATAATATTTGTATGCACGCTCACTCACGCATCCGAAAGTTTTTCACACATCAAAACGCGAGCAAAGCACAAATTGATGACACCATGGATTTCTTATTCAAGCAAAACTCCAACTGTGTGCCAGACCTGGATTTGATGTGGGAACTGGAAAATACATTAAAGCCAATCCGATTCGACGATGGGAAAGGGTACTTTTTTGCTATGGAAAGCAATTGGTTCAAATACATACCAATATTCCTGAATTTGCAACAGTGAGTTTTCGTTCATTTATTATTGTGAATCAAACGATTGTATTTTTTATGCGATTTTTTTCCATTTTGAAAATTCTACAAATATCACACGAGTAATTTTATCAATTTATTTTTTGGAAAATATACAAAAATTGGTACATTCGCAATCATGAACGTGAACGAAAAGCCGCAATCATGAACGAACCGAGCTTCGTGAATACAGAAATTTCACCGTGGTACCAACGTCATCGTTCGAAAGACATTACATTCGAATTGATCGTAGAGTGTTTTATCGCATGTTGAGACAGATAGAATGTCCACATCGATTATTTCGCAATAAAAACGGCGGCCCAAAACAGGAGAAAGACATCAAAAGTAAAGAATGGGATGTATTATGGCGTCTGTATTTCGACATCGATAGCATCGAAAGAGAACCGAGAAACAAAAATGATGGCCATGCAACAATAAAATTCGACAACTCCATTCAAACAGATGGTGTCGGTATGTCATTTTTGATGGAACGAACAAAATTCATCATTGAAAAAGACGATGAAGAGCGTATGAAAGAGACACAAGAGATGCTTCTGAAAAGCCAACAAGTGTATGGTCTCGATCCTGGACTACGTTTGGTCATTGGTGGTGTGCGCATTAACAATTTCAACGATCGAAATAATCGCACTGAAACAATCATTCGATTGACATCGGGCCAATATCAAGATATGATAAATTCATCGCGACGGAACAAATGGCGCAAAAAGTTGACAATTGAAATCGATGAAAAGATGCGTCCACATCGTGAGTCATTTGATGAGCAGCCTGGTCCACGAGCCGAAGACCATAAATCATATGCTGATCATATTTTGCGTCATTTTGAAGAAAAGTTCATAGCATACACACAGTATGAATACGCTTTGCAAGCATTTCTCTAGTACATTGACACGAATAGAGCACTTGATGCATATGCAACCAAGCTCATCGATGGTAAGCAAACGTTCATATTTGTCGGTGATCGTTTCATTGCGGCAGATTCACCAGCCCGAGGATATATTCGATCGAAGGTGCGAGATTTGTTCGAGAAGTTGAAACGTCGCCGTAAATGTACAGTGGTCGAGGTGGACGAATTTCGGACGACCAAATTATGTTCGTTGTGCTTCCGTGAACTTGAAAAACCGACAAAAAGAGGCAAAGTAAAGGAGAAATATCGCTATCTCACATGCCATGGATGCGAACCATTGTGTGGAGAAAATGTGCTTGGAAAAGCCCAAGGTCCGATTGAATCACGAAAAAGCAATCGCAAATTGACGCAGCAACGAAAACATCGTCCCCGTACTGATGGTCCACGTATGGCATCAAAATTTCGTAAATATGAAGAGAAAACTCGAATTGGGCGTACTATCACCTGGAATCGTGATGCAAATGCAGGTCGTAACATTCTCTACAAAGGTTTGTGTTTGTTAAATTGATATGCTCTCAGTTTAATATGAACAAGTCAATGAACAATAGACAATGAATTCGTTTTTTTTTATTCCTTACAAACAAACAGGATGGTGTGCTGTTATGAATATAGAGCTACATCCAGCATTTCAACGGCATCTTGAAGAAGAAGAAGAAAATGCAGGAGGAGGAGATCCACCGCCAGCACCACCAGCACGAGCTCGACAATCAAGACGAGCAGCATCCAATCAAGTATGTAATCATTTCAATAATTCTGCTTTGAATTTATCTAATCAATTGAAGCTACACATACTTTTAATTTACGTTCATATTTAGAAATTGATATAATCATTGTCATTTTCAGAATCAACAAACAACACAACGAACATTGCGTTCTCATCTGGATCAAGCGCGGAGCTCTCGGCCGTAAGCCCTGGGTTTTGTGCGGGATTTCAACGTGGTCCTACAATTCGCTACAATTAGTAAGTATTTAAATTTAATCCTACAGTGCTAAAATTTAATCCTTTTGGATTATTTTGATGAAAAATCCCAAATGATTAATATTTAATCCCTTCTATTTTACAGTGTATACGAAACAATAACAGAGACAAAGAGAAAAAGAGAAACAGATATCGAAACAATTGTTCCAAACAAAAATATAACAAGGCAAGTTTTGTTTTCATGTGTCAAACCTTGCACCAACTTTCCAATAAGAGCACATATGAGAAACATTTTAAATCGGTACTTAGTTTAAATTGAATCGTTGCGGCGAAAGAGTAGCTCTTATTTTTCTCCAAATAATACTGCAACATAAAGTTTTTTATGAATAGTTTATTTGTTGTATTACAACAAATAAACCGTGTGAAAAAAACTTCATGTTGCAGTATTATTTGGAGAAGAATAAGAGCTACTGTTTCGCCGCAACGATTCAATTGTACATCTATCGATTTTTTTCTGATGTAAAGCGTAACTCTATGATTTAACGATGTATTTTTTTAACAATCATTTTATTTTTACCTTTATCTTCAATTAAATTTTGACTCAAGTCAATAGTTCGAAGTGCTGGACTATTATTGGTGATCACAGATACAGCTAATTTATGAACAAAATCCGATCTGCAGTAGAAGAGAATAAATAGGGAAATTAGGGAAAATTTACAAGTCTTACATTTTTTTAGTTCTCATTCACCACCGCACCTTAATCCTAATGCTTCGAGATGCAGTTCCTCCAACCACATTGATCGCCGAAGGACATGTAATATTCGTTCAAGCGTTTCATGTGATAATCGTGTATGTGTGACCTTTAAACTTCGAAAAAATGTATTATACTCCAGCGCAGAAACTATTGCTGTTAAATCTCTGTCGTTTTTTTGTATAAGAAAAAAATAATGAAAAATGTAGTAAGATTTTTACAAAATTCTGCATTAAAATCACATACTTTGGTTCCAAATGATCAAAATCACGTAAATTTAGTATTCTTGTATCGTGTGATAGGTAAATTGTATCAATGTCCCAGGCTACTTCATCTCTGTACGAAATATTGAATGAATTAATTTTAATCAAACAATCAATTTAAAAACCGAGTGAAAATTCAGTCAAAGCTATTACCTGTAAGTAATGCCATGAAAATCACACATGCACGCATATTGTCTGCTGAATCCACCGCATGGGCCAACATTTCTTGGATCAGATGGTCGTAGTTCATCAGAAAATATTGCTTCTCGTTCACTTGGTTGAATATCAATCTAAATAAAATTTACCATTTCAAATTCATGCTTACATTCAATGTTAACCCTTAACCG